GCTGAGCAGGGAGCCCGATGCGGGACTCGATCCCGGGACTCCAGGATCATGACCTGAGCTGAAGGCAGTCGCTTAACCAACTGAGCCACCCAGGCGCCCACGTTTGGCAATATTTTAACACATGCAACTCCCAGGCCTTTATCAGGGAGCAATACACACAATTCACTTGAACCTGAAGTTCTGGGCTACTCATTTGTTAGATGCATTCAAGTTCAAGAATAAATGGGCACAACATGGGAATAAAATACAACCACAGACAGTGGTGACAGAAACAAGCAACAACAAAGATGACAAACTATTTGTATTTTCTGTAATTCTGACAATTATTTTTAAAATTCACATTTTACCTGAATGGTATTTAGTGTATTATCACCACTCAAAAAAAAAATTCTATAATTAATTAATGTAATTAAATTACTTCCAGTAACTAAAATAATCAATATGCTCAAAAGAAATCAGGAGTTTCCTGTATCAGCAGTGATGAATCAGCAACCCCTAACTGAGACCTCCAGACAAGCTCGAGGCAGTTTGACCATATAGTCAAGAGTATCACGCCTGCTCTACACCCCTCTGTTCAGCTTCCTGTATTAAAAGTGTTCAGGACCCAGCCAATATCGAATTTGCTGCATTTCTTTTTCACATTAGGTCCCCACATTTTGCCTGAGATGAAAAAGTTAAAACCGTGATAAGAGTTTTACTTCCTCCCACGAAGTTGCATTAACCTGGCTTGTGACGGCCAGCAACGGCATGGCCAAGAGATAGATGTGCACAGGTCTGATCAACAAGGGAATTAAAAGAGAGTAATTTCTGGTTTCCTCTGTGCCCCTCCTCCCCACCCCCAACACCTTCAATTTTGGCTCGGTGAATGCCTGGTTTCGTGAGTGACACTCCTGCCCACTCTTACCTTCATCCTTCCCAGACTGGAAAACTTCTCCTTGTCTTCCATCACCGCTTTCAGAACGGGCTGGGACATTCTGTTCTTCTTCTTTGAAGTGGTAGGACTGTCAAAATCAAAGCCACTGACCACCGCCCTGCGATAGGACGTGGATCGCAAGCCTCTCCGCAGAGACCCTGGGCTGTCCACGTCGTTCTCCGCCTCGCCCTCATCCTCTGCCGGGCCCAGAGACGCTCCGAGGCCCTCCACCATGCTGCGCACCTTGAGCAGTCTCCTGTGGGGCTCCACATTCTGACTGTTGGATTTACTTATTTTAATTTCCGAGGCCAGGCTCTTCGGAATGATTTGCTGCTTCCCCACTTTGAGGGCGGCGGGGCTGTTTGTGCTCAAAACCACTGAAGGATTCTCTGGGAGCTCGTTCTCCTGTGAGGGCAGCCTTTGGAGGGGGAGTTTGTGCTCCAAAGACCTTTTCTGGGGCGCAGGAGAGAGTTTCGAGGGTCCCGGCTCAGGGTCCTTAGTCGTCTGGCCAGATCGCGAACCAGAGCCTGGGGTGTCGATTTTAGGGAAAAGCCCATTTGCAACGGGTGAAGACAGGGGGCTGGTGGTCAGTCCGGTCAGGTCTACCTCCCGGCTGCAGCAGGCGGGCGAGTTGGGAGTCCGCTGCGGGCGCAGAGGCTGCGGTAGGGGGGACATCACAGTGCCATTCGCTGGGGATTTCGGGGAGCCCCCTAACACCGCTTTGGGAGCCTGGGGAGACTTGGGCCGTCGGAGCCGAGGAGAGACAGCTCTATATTCCGGGGAGATCGTCACCACCCTCCTATGGGCACACAGAAGCAGGGGGTTCCCCTGGACGGTCCTGCCCTCAGAAGCGGTGGGTACCTGGGTGGGAGTCTGCACAGTGGGGAGCGTCCCTCGGTCTTCCACTGGGAAATCCGTGATCAGCAACCCGCTGGGGCTCTGGTAGGACTGGGGCCTCGGCTTGCTCCGGCCCAGCAACTGAGGCTGAGGAGTTGACCGCCTCCGCCACAAAGGGGTTAAGCTGTTGCTAGAAATATCCACTTCACTCTCGCTGTCCATAGCGGAGACTCGGAGGTCAGCCCGGGAGGGAACAGCACCCAGTTAGTCTTGCCTAAAGAGGAAAGAAATCATGGAACTTTGCCTCCGGACAAACAGGCACGCCTTGCAGACGCGCGCTCCGAGTGTGGCGGTCACCCGACTGCTGTGCGCGACACAACTGCGTGTCGACTACCCACCCCTTCTAGGGCAAAATCTGCGCCCACCGCAACGCGTGGTCCGGGACAGAAATCTGGGCTGTGCCCAGGCGGAATAATCCAATTACCTCCGTGTCCCTGCAGCGCCCAAAGACCACCCGCACGGAAAAAGCCCGCCACCAGTACGCAGGGTGCAAGCTGATGCACAGGAAACTTTGCGACGAGTTCAGCTTTCTGGAGAAACAACTTGCCGCGCGACGCTCCCCTCCGCCGCCATCCAGCTGCCCAGCCCCGTCGTTGGTCCCCTCTCGTTCAAGCCGCCCGGCTCCTAGGCGGATTTACCTTCGGGGCTTTACAGAGCCCAGGGTCAGCAAGCGCCCACCGCCCCTTGGGTGGCCCGGGTCTCAGACGGAATCGCAGCAGCCGGGGAGCTCTGGAGAGCACGGCGGCCGACCCGAGCCGTCGGCTCCGCCCTCAAGCTTGGTACAGCCCTCAGCCCTGGCCCCGCCCCAGTCTTAGCCACTCTCTGACCCGCCTCTGTCGCAGCGAGAGCTGAGCCTCCCTTCCAGCCTTGGCGTACATTCGATCCCCTCCCGTCTCGCTCGAAAACACTGGAGCACACGTGGGCTGGGTGCGGAACTCCAGGGTTCCGTGCCGGGAGCTGTGGGCGCGCTAGGTGGTTGCCAGGAACCAGCGTGAGAACGAGCGTGGGAGCCATGCAGAGCTGCAATTTAGAAAGCCCTGGGGCAGGGTTGGGGGCGGGGGGATGGCGTGGTTTGGGGGGGTAGTCGGGGCGAGGAGGGTTTGTGAAATGCGTGAGCTGGGATGCGTAGCTCTAAACGCTGAGAGTCAGTGCCTTCTCAGCGCTCGGGTGGTATTAAAACACAAATCTGATGGCCTCGCTCCCCTGTTTAAAATATCTTATACATACAGAGACTGTTAGATACGCTTGCTTGTGCTTAGAGTATTTCCGGAGGGCTGCGTGCAGGCAGCTGGTCGGGGGGGTGGGGGAACTGGGTGCTTAGGAAACTGGTGGGAGCGGGAATTTTCTTTAAAAGATCTTGGATCTTTCGTGCTTTGTGTTTTTTTGTTTTTTGTTGTTGTTGTTAGAGAGGGGGAGGGGCAGAGAGAGAGAAAGAAAATCTTAAGCGGACTCCGCCCCCAGCGCCAGCCGCTGTGGGGCTGGATCTCAGGACCCCGAGGCCGTGACCTCTGAGGAAATCCTGAGTCCCAACCAACTGAACCACACAGGTGCCCAGAACGTTTTATGCTTTGAATCCTGAATTTTACCAATTAAAAAAATAAATGTAATTTAAATTACAAATATATATATATATAGGTTTCTAAGCATACATAAAATAAAATTCAAATTCCGTAATTTACGAGGCCTTGCAGGACCTGCTTACCTCTGCAGCGGTCTTTTCTCCCAACATTTTTTCCGTCATTATTCTTAGGCCACAGACACTTCAAGTTTGACCACCCCAGAACCTGCCCTTTTGTTCCTCCTTGACCTTCTGACTTGTTACTCCATCAGAAAAGACTTCCCTGACCCTTCCTGAATCAGACCATGCCTCTGCTTATTTTCCCAGCCACCTGTTCTCTTCCTTTTCTACATTTAATGACAGTTTACATATATACATTTATTTTTGTGTTTATGTTTATTATCTGTTTTGCCGTGTTTAGACTGTAAACTTCAAGAGGGCCGGAGCCATGTTGATGTATTGCCCTTCTGTATTCCAGGCACACAGTGGGCACTTAATGAGTATTTGTTGAATGAATTTGTGAGAGGAATGAAGTAACGACAGTGACCATCCTTCCAGAGTGCTCCTTTGCCAAAGAGTAGAAAGTCCGCAGCACCCTGGCCAAGTTCCTGCTATGTGAGAAGAATAAGGCAAACTTGAGAGGACAAATGACCCTAAGATCTATGTAATTAATTCTGTCAGCAAGACACGTGGGCTGTTCTCCCAAGTTCTCGTTCAGCAGTCAGGCATTCATTCAGAGATACAGTGCATATCCACTGTGTGCAAGTTAAGCTACTCGTTTTTGCCCTACATACATTGAATGTAATGGCCAAAAATATTGAGAGGCAAGCTCTGGGTTGTGAGATGAAGCATGAGGTTTTTCATGTTTTATACTTTTCTGTATTACCAAATGCTATACACTGAATATATATTACTTTGATTGGAGATACTTCTGTAAGGAAGAAATGGCATCAAGAAATTTTTTTTTTTAATTTTAAGAAATTTAAAGAAAAAATAGAGCCGATTACATACTCATACATACCGACTTTTTAACACAGAACCTTTTCCATACTAACATATATTACTTGTATATTGGAAAATATAATTTAAATATATTTTTATAATTTAAAAATGCTTAACGATAAATTTAAAAATGCTGAACTAATGATAAATTATATGCTTGATTCAGAATGCAATCTGTGACTTATGTTAAGAAGTTAAAATGGGGGCACCTGGGTGGCTCAGTTGGTTAAGGGACTGCCTTCGGCTCAGGTCATGATCCCGGAGTCCTGAGATCGAGTCTTCCATTGGACTCCCAGCTCAGCAGGGAGCCTGCTTCTCCCTCTGACCCTCTCCCCTCTCATGCTATTTCTCTCTCTCTCTCTCTCTTTCTCTCTCAAATAAATAAATAAAATCTTTTTTTAAAAAGTTATAAATGGTGATAAGCGAAGCTAGCTTCTCTTCAACCTATGTTGGGTCTGCAAACAAGTGTAGCAGAGGACTGTCAAAGAAATCACAGGATCTTCCTACCTCATTCCTAGGCAACTGCATCATATCCACCAAAACAACAACAGCAAGACACCAAGCTCTGTTCCTTCACTAGGGGAGGTCTGGAAATTCACAGACTTACTGCTGAGTTTAGCCTCCATTCAATTTATCATATCCAAATTGCAGCCATCTTCAATGGAATGTGCCACCAAGATAGGAAAGAGTTGCCAATTAAACTACGACACAACATGTTGTCATACAGGATTTTTGTTTTCTACTTAATTAAAGAGCACTTTTAGACATAAATTTTTTACAGTGATGTGCATATAGGGCAAAGGGAAATATAAGCAAAATAAATTGAGTAAAGAATTTCTAAAAATTCTGTACACTAAATCTAACTCTTCTGAATCCCTTTTCATACAAAGCATCACCACGTGTGTTTTTCTGCACAATATCATTGATAGGGCAGCATTTCTTAAAAGAATATGCTAGTCTTATCTCTGGAATTTGCTTCCTAGCCACTAACAATCATGGTGCAAGTTTGATGCTGGTGCTATCCTATCTGATCAAAAGCATAAATTTCTTGCTCAGCTGAATCATATGCCACTATAAGCCCTGCACTTCTCTGTTAATGACCACAAAGAAGTTTCTGACAAATTAAATTCCATGCCTTGACTATAGTTATACATAACTATAACTATACATAACTACAGTTCTGACCATGTTCACAAATACAGAGGCAATGCCAACAATATCATGATTGCATTTGGCCAACGTCTATTTCTTAAGTAAGACATATCCCAGTTTCAGGTACATTAAAATGTGGGGCCAAAATACTTCTTAGAATTGGAGAAATGTGTATATTGAGTTAGTGAGGAATGACATATTCCAATAGTACATATATATTTTTTTTTTAATTTTTCAAAATTAGTATCTTTCCAGTTCTATTGAGTTATAATTGACATCCATTGTACTAGTTTAAGGTGTATAGCATAATGATTTGATATATGTATATGTATACATAAATATATGTATATATTTCAAAATGATTACAAGTAAGTTAACACACGTTACCTCAGTTATAATTTTTGTGTGTGATGAGAACTTTCCGTCGATTTGCTCTTAGCAACTTTCAAATATACAATAAAGTGTTAACTATAATCACCATGCTATACTTTAGATCCTCAGAATAACTCCCAAATTTGCACCTTTGGCCACCTTCACTCCTTTCCCCCAATGCTATTAAAATATTCAATGGTATAAGATACCAGAGGCTGAGATAACAATTATTGCTATATTTATTAAACCAATTTTCATTGATCCCTAATTATATGCTTGGCATAATAATTAGGCTATTTTTGGGCACCTGGGTGGCTCAGTTGTTGAGTGTCTGCCTTCAGCTCAGGTCACGATCCCAGGGTCCTGGGATCGAGCCCCACGTCGGGCTCCCTGCTCCGCGGGAAGCCTGCTTCTCCCTCTCCCACTCCCCCTGCTTGTGTTCCCCCTCTTGCTGTGTCTCTCTCTGTCAAATAAATAAATAAAATCATAAAAAAAAAAAAAGAAGTCTGGATAAAACTAGGCCAGAAGACTAGGGAAAATATTGTGCGGTGGAGAATAAGAGAAGTATATCCCAGAAACATATTTTGCATGCATGAGCAAAAACATGGGGGGATGACTGGAAAACATATTTATTTAGTGCCAACTATATGTCAAACATTGTCATTCATTACATATAATTCAAACTCTCATTAATCCTGTCTCCACTTAAATATGAAGTGCTGAGGTTCCAAAAGCTCTTCTCATATTGTTGGTGAGTGGTTGAGTCAGAATCCTAACTCAGGTCTGTCAGACTCAGACTTCAGAGCCCCCAAGCACCACACACCACAAACTAAACTCACAAGAACTGAGAGTTTGTAGTTAGAAGTTGTGGGAGATTCATGTGGCTAAATATGGTGAGAACAGAATGTGGTGTGTGGCATAAACTGAGGGACCTACGGGGCGTCTGGGTGGCTCAGTTGGTTAAGCCGCTGCCTTCGGCTCAGGTCATGATCCCAGGATCCTGGGATCGAGCCCCGCATCGGGCTCCCTGCTCAGCAGGGAGTCTGCTTCTCCCTCTCCCTCTCCCTCTGCTTGCCGCTCTCCTTGCTTGTGATCTCTCTGTGTCAAATACATAAATAAAATCTTAAAAAAAAAAAAACAAAAAAAAACTGAGAGACCTGGATTTTACCTGGATAGTATCTGACATTTTCTGAAAGTATGTAAGCTTCACTATTGTTTAAAACAATAAATCTGTCAACACCATTCTCAGAAATAAAAATAAAAAGATTTGTTTATGGATTTTAAAAAAATCCACCTAAGCCCATAAAATCTGAGAGAAATCTTAGACAAAAATTAGAGAAAAATATTGATATATATGTACAGAATAGACAAAGCATTAATATTTGTATCACTCACAAATCAATAAGAAAAAGGTAACAATGGAAAAATGAGCAGAGCGAGAATGCAGGATTTAGAGAAGACACAAATGCCCACTACACATGAAAATACACTCAGCCTCAACAGTAAAAATACAATTAAAACACTAATGAGATCATAGGTCAACAAAGATTTTTTTTTTTAAACCCACTGTTGGTAAACGTGCAGGCAAAAGAGAAAGTTCTGACTCATTGATGGTAAGAATATAAACTGGTACAACCTTTCTGGAGGGCAGTCAGATGATACATACTCAAAAC